CCGCCAAAATTGCGCTACCATCATCAGGCTCTAGGTCTCGTTCTCTGCTTCTACGTCGGGTCGATGGAAAACGGAACGCTGAGCATGTTGTTTGGGGTGCCTCCGAGCACTTTATCTCGGACGCTGCGCAAAGCCGAAGAGGCGCTGTCGTGTGCACTTCGGGATTTCTCCCCAGCGCGGATTTCATGGCCGTCACCTTCTCGCCAGAGAGAGCTTGTCAGCTTGGTGAACGCACGCGAGCCGTTGCTGGAGCATACGTTCGGGTTTATCGATGGAAAGAACTTCCGTGTAAGTACGACGTTGGATGCCTTGTAATATCTCTTGACTGGTAACGTGATGCTGTTACTATTTACGTTTGCAGGTGCAGCAGCCTTCTAACTCCGACCTTCAAAACGCAATGTACAATGGATGGCTACACTCGGTTCTAGTCACGGGTACTATTTGTCTTGCCGCAGACGGCTGCATTATCTGGGCCAAGCATAATTGCCCTGGATCCTGGAACGATTCAGATACGTCTCTCGGTTTCCGCATGAAACTTCTGGATCCTGTGTATTGCCCTGACGAACGCATGAACGTTGTGTCAGACTCCGCCTTCCCGTGCTCCACGGCAATGACAGGCAGGATCCTGACTCCGCTGAAAGACGGAGATCTCGAGAGAATTGAACCGTCGCTTCGGAGTTCAGCGCGGACGTTGCACAACGCCATCACTTCGGTGAGGCAGGCTGCAGAGTGGGGAATGAGCAGCGTGCAGAAGGTTTATAGTCGCCTTAATGTGCCGCTACCCTACGATCCGAATCTCCGTGGTCTAAGGCTCAACAACATATTCCGGATGGCGAATTACCGCGTGCGGGCGGTGGGTATCGCGGAGATACGAACAACGTTTATGGGAGCGATGGAGATGACGTTGTAGCTCCAGCTGGGTGGTGGGGATTGGGAGAACTTGGATATGTTCATTTGCATGACTAGCTTCTACCCAAGAACGAATACAAGTGCGGTTATCGGACATTTTCAGCCGTGTCGGTGGTTGCTTGGCTCGCTACGGAGGGCTGGTTTCAAAATGCAACGCTACAAAATACACTTCCTCCCTCTCGGTCCATTCCCGACGGGTGCTTTCGGTTCTGCGACTCTGATCTCTTCACTCCTTCTTCACCAGAGCACTGATGAAGAACATCAGTTCCTGGGAGTGCGCACGGGCCTCCTCTTTATCGCGGCGAGCTCGTTCCTCCGTCTCCAGCTTCTCGGCGCGGTAACGCGCCTCGCGCGCCATGACTTCATCGCGGCGACGCTGCTCTTCTTCCGCCCGGCGAGCTTCACCCCTACGTTCGCTATCCTCACGCATGAGGATCATCAGCTCGACAATATTTGTACCCATGGCCCCGGACGAGCTTTCTAGGTCACCCAAGCGCTTCTTCAGCTGTGTGGCCGCCTTGATAGCCTTCGCCCGCTTCATCTTGGCGTAACTTGCCTCGTGAAGGTCTTGGTCGTCGTCGACATCTCGCTTGCGGCCAATGGTTCCACTAAACTCGGCAAGATTGCCCCCTCCAAGGCGGTTGGAGCAGCTAAGATAGCGCGTCGATTCCGCAGCACGGCGCGAACGATCGGCTGAGCTCTGCTCTTCGAGGACCGCAATTGAGGTTGTGTTTTGCGATTGACTGGGCTTCGGTAGACCAGCAGAGCGAAGCTGGCGTTGAGTGGATCGGTCGGGCCCAGATGATGACCTCGGAGTGCTGGCGAATGCCTCCAACCCGTCATGAACAGCGGCAGACTCGAGGATCTCGGCGAAGCTACTGGCTGCGTCCGTGAGGTTGATACCCGGTTCGTTGGGCAAACTGGGCAAACTGCTGGATCCCTCACGGTGAGGAGTATCGGTGTTGGAGAGGCTTCCACGGGCAGAGTCAGTCGTGTTGCTCACTGAGCTGGAGTCGTTGCCGATCCCGTCGTCTCCATCAAAGTTAAAGGAGAAATCTGGGTGCTGCTCACCCTCTTCCTCCTGTTGGTCATCTACGTCGGCTCCGTCGTCCATCTCCTCAACACTCGCCTTATCGTCGATACTTTGCTTGAGCTGTTTAGCTTCCTTCACTTGGGGAGCATGTCAGCGACTCCCGTGGGCTTACGGATACTGTACAGCATCTTGAACTTGCGCCGGAGACTCTCGTAGTCGCGCTCTCCAATGCCCCGACCGCGGTTCGAGTTGTACATGCTGGCAAGACGCTCCCATTCGTCCTTACCAAGCGGCAAGAACTTAGCAACAAGACTCAGCAGGCGTTGCACCTCCGTGAGCTTGTAGTTGGTGGATCCAGTTAGTTTAGCCATCTATCATGAATTAAACAGCAATTGATGAGACGTCAGTACGAAGTAGAGGAAGCAATGAAGAGTTTGGCAGCGTACCGGGACGAAGTGAGCGCAAGAGGCGATCGAAGACAAACACTTGGTCGGGAACGGGGCTTGGACTTGCTCGGATGGGAGTAAAACCAAAAATGAGACTTCGGGGACGTCGTTCGACGTGTCTGGAGGCCGCACTGTGGCAGCGCGCCCTAGGACGCGTTAGTAGCTAGCTATCACAAGGGTTCGCGCCGAAACGAGCGCGCGCTAACAAAGATCTACGAGTTCACGAACCGTACAGTATGGAGTCGCGTTTTGGCGCGAAACCCGTGCTTGCACAGCTTCAACGTTGACGCTAAGCTTCGATATGTGAGGGAACCAGCTTTACTTCAACGTCCAAGTAGCATATCAAAGATGAGCATTTGTCTTTACAGTAGGTTTGTATGCACGGGCTACCTACACTCATCACGTCTCCTGACTGCACGTCGGCTACGGATCGCTCTGGTCCTGGATCTCACGATGACGACAGGAGGCGAGACCACAGCGGCACACGAACTAAAGATCACCGCCATAGTCAACGGTGATCTCCTCTCCTTCACGTACGATCTCTGTAGTGGCGACAATAACCGTGGCGCGGCGTCCGTTCGCGACCTCGACGAACTGAGCGACCGGTGAACACGAGTGGTTCACAAAACGCATCAATCCACCCATTTCAGCTGCGTTGATGGCGACACGAATCGGGTGGCTTGGCCTCTTCGGTCGTTGGGTCATCACCAACCGGAATCCTTCGTTCCGTGGGCGACGTGCTGGATCCATGCTGACGTGCTCGAACTCGCCTAAGTACTGACCCAACACCTCGCCTGCATCAATGTCCTCAGCAGCGACGACAGATAACTGGAGCGTACGCGTGTTTCTCGCCAAGTACACCTTGGTTGATTCCTCCAGACTGTTCCCGCACTTAGCGTCGTATGGACAGCAGCTTGGGCTTGTGGTACAGTACAGCTGCACCAGCGAGTTCCTGCACGCCCCGACACGGCATGGCTCCGGACAGTCACACCAGCCGTAATGGGGCACTCTTGGGAATACCAACCCGGTCGGGTTGTACTGAGTACGGAGGTGAACAACACGTACCGGCCAGTCCGCTGGTACGAAGCGGTCCCGAGAGCGCTTTTCACGCGCACATGGTGGTGGTTGTGACGACTTAGGACTGGTCCTCATCAGCCCTCGAGGGTTCAGCGACGGAGAGGCAGCTTCACGACGGTGATCCTGACGTCGGTGATAGGGTTGAGCAGCTTCTCGACGCTCTCTCCGGGAACTACGACGATCACGCAGGGGGATCCGTGGCAGAGAGCGAGGAAGCGATGCTGGCGGTGTCTCCAGTAGCACTGGAGATGACGTCGTCGGACTGTGCGGCGGCCGCGAGTATGGCGGTGACGCTAGGGCTACCACTTCATCCGCACGCGGTGGAGTCACTTCAGGCTTCGGTTTTCGCGGCGGTGATAGCGTCCCTGTAGAGCGGTAGCCATACTGCTCGCTAATAGTGCTCGATTGCGACAGGTTTGGAGGAGCGTTTTCATCCTCGGTCGACGAGTCAGCGATGCGCCGCTCGCTCCAGTATGAAGCCGAGTGAACCATGCTCTGAAAGTACAAAGATCGTCAGCAAAGACCCAATGTAAGGCTTAGTGAACGTACCTTCTCAACAGCAGAGGCGCTTTGCTCCCAGCGGCCGATTTTCCAAAGTGAATGCTTCTTCAACTTGGCGCAAAAAATGAGATATGCCAGATACATGCAGTAGGAGTGATTGTGGATTGGGTCAGAGCGATGGTCAGCATTTTCAATACAAAATCAAAGATCTAGCCTTAAGATGGCTACAGAGATTAAACCTAGGGGTAGGGAAGGTTATGGAGACGACTTTTACGCCTCCGCCGGTTTATTCGACGATATGCACTTGACATACCTGCTGCAGTTATGTCGGGTGATTTCTCCATTTTTGGAAGGCGTCCAGAGTGTTGATATATTAATGGATACATCTTATCCAGATATCAATAATTACTCGTTCGTTCGGATAGGTCGATCGAAATTATACCGCAATTGGCTTTTTACGCTACCGCAAAGTAGAATTTGCCCTTTTCTCTCAGTAGCATGGTTTTCGTAATGGACGATCGATCGTTCATCAACGCCGGGCATGTTAAAATCGTTGACAACCATTGCTAAATCTCTTTTCGAGCTGGCTTCTAGAATCGCTACGTACTCTGAATTCAATCGAATCATCTTATCGGTAGCAAAGTAGCTATGACTAAGGAAAAGGGTACTCAACTTGTAATGTTGTCCTCGGGTCATATAGTGAGAGAATAGATTCTTCTGGAGCAGCTTATCGTTGCTGTAGTCATCAATAATGACTAGCTCCGGTTTATTCGAGCTCAGAGGAGTCCTTCGCACCTGATCGACGCTCGGTGGTGAGTCAGGATCAGCAAACGTTATGAATTCGCCCAGCTTATTCCTAAGGTAGTCATAGAGTTCCTGGTATGGATTACGAAAAATGATTGTGAGATGAGCAAATGCATGAGGAGATTTCTTGAGAATGAATAAACAAAGGTTGTTCTTTCCGCTAAACGTTGGGCCCAAAACGATCATCCTAAACAAAAATTTGATACCTAATGCTGGAATATCCCCCATCGAGGCTGACTTGAATTTCTTACGGAGCGAGCCTCCATAATCAGGGGTGAAAGTAAGGAGGGCCATTCCGCGGAGGGCCATGGGACAGACTGTGCGCAGAGACGACACAAAAAAATCTTTTGTAGCAGTTTTTTATTTAATAAAATCGAGTTATTACAAGCCGTGTCCGTCTTTAAGCGGCGTGTCCGTTGCAATATTTCAGTATACAAAATCTAATACTAATTTGGCCGTGTCCGTCCCACAGAGGCGTGTCCGTCCCAGAGACGCGAGATATTTGGTCTGTGTCTCACTTTTAAGATGGCGCCCAAGCCCAAACTTGCGCTTCCTGCTTGCGGCTACATATTCGTCTATCTGGGCCTTTCAGACGAGACTCTTACAGCTCTGAAAACCGAGGCAATGGCTCGAGAGTACGTGGTGGAGCTCGTACTTGCTGGTAACCCAGAAAGTGGGGTCTGACCACATGGTCCACCATATATGGTAAGTTTGGTTGGGCGATTTTTTTTAAAATCTATCATTTTAAAATGGTTTTTAGAAAGATTTTAATTCTTTAATACAGTACATTTGAGACTTCCTCAATTTGTTTTGACTTACGTAAGGTATACGCCTTCAGTACTTAATTCTTGTCCCTTTTCTTATTGCCGCTATTCCCTGTATACAGACAGTACCAGTACGATATCACGATGACAATCCATCCGAAAAACGATCCAACTCATCCAAGGATAGGAATTGCAGCTTCACGACTTGTCATCATCTTGGTCGTTTTGATACTTAGGTAATTTCTTTTTGTCCATCATGATATTCAAAAATAGATATATGCTGAAGTCTGCACCACGTCACAGGATTGTGTGGTGCACATAAAAGGCAACTTGCTGTGTCATCGAACATTCGGAGTCATTCCAATCTTCTAGAATTCGAGTGTTGCAGTAGGCAGTGCAGGAAGGATGTAGAGAGCTAGTTTAGTTTGATTCTCACTTTTCATTTTACGCTGCATCGGTAACAAGAAACTCAAGTCGTTTTTGATATATAATCGTACAGCTCGATCGATGCGGATTTAGCTCGATATACTAACGGGTAAATCCGAAATTTATAAGGTGCACTCATTTCCCGGAGAAATAGTACCTTCGTCCGACCAGCGAATATGCCGTTCAGTGAGTTTTCTTAATCGGAATGGGCAAAATACGCCTGTGAGAATTTTTTGTGTCGTCTCTGCGCACAGTCTGTCCCATGGCCCTCCGCGGAATGTCCCTCCTTACTTCCACCCCATAATCAGGGATGCTCATCGTGTTTTATCGTCCACTATATAGCCTCAGCTCTGGGTTTTCATATCCGAATCCAGTATTCAATAATAGTATCTACAATCCTGCATTCCATCTCTCGTTGGGTGCAAGCGGGTTTCTTACGTATGAATATGCTCAAACACTTTATTTATCGAGGAACGAGTATCGACTATCATACATCAGCGGGATCGCATCTGGTATAGCAGCACAAGGAGTAGCTCTTGTGCCAGGAATAATTAATAGCGATAGCGGTATTGGTGCCTTAAGCGGTTCCTCTCTAACGGCTAATGGATCATCAGTCACTACAGCTCCTGGTTATATAGCTGACATAACGCCTGGAACCGCATCAACTATTAAAGCTTTGGGCCTTAACACATCAGGTAATATCACTGGCATTAACGCTTTATCAGCAACAAGCTTAACTGGAACGGTTCAGACAGCTTCCCATTCTAATATTACGTCTCTTGGAGCCCTAGCCGGGTTATCCATAGGCGGTAATCTCACATTCACAAGTGCTTCTCGTTCCCTAACGGGTTTAGAGGTTTTATCAACAGTTACCAATAGCGGGGTGCGCCAGTCAGGTAGTCAGAGCAATGTAACGTCTCTTGGGACACTACCCGGACTAACCATAGCCGGTAATTTGATATTCACTGGATCATAGCGATCGATAACAGGTTTAGAGACATTATCATCGTAAAGCATAACCGGAACGCTCCAGACACCATCCCAATCTAATATGACGTCTCTTGGAACCCTATCCGGGTTATCAATAGCCGGTAATTTGGTATTCACTGGTTCATCACGATCGATAACAGGTCTGGAATCTCAAGACGTTGCAGACAGCTTCCCAATCTAATATTACGCCTCTTGGAACCCTACCCGGACTAACCATAGCCGGTAATTTGATATTTACAGGTGCTTCCCGATCGCTAACAGGCTTAGAGACACTTTCATCGACAAACATAAGCGGAACGCCCCAGACACCTTCCCAGTCTAATGTCACATCGTTGAGTACATTAAGCGGACTAACCATAGGCGGTAATCTCACATTTACAGGTGCTTCCCGATCGATTACGGGCTTAGACTCGATATCATCTTCAAATCTCAATATAAACCCTACTACTCTCCAGCTGCGAGGAAGTACAATTACTTCATCTGCCACAGAGATCAAATATCTAACCGGAGTCTCTCCGGGACGGCATCCACTAGTAAAGCTTTGGTCCTTAACGCATCATCCAGTATCGCTGGCATCAATTCTTTGGCTACTGATATCACGGTTTCCAATTATATTTATGGTTTATTAGCCTATGGCAATCAAGCGGCTATTACGACTGTAGGCGCTTTAACGGAGCTCATGATAAGTAGCTGAGCTTCTACTGAATGCTTAAGAATTCAGGCAAGCGGTACTGCCTACCTCGACGGGTCGTATACGCGCGTTAACAGTTGCTTTAGATCAAACGCAACTCCGGTCCAGTTTCAGATAGAAGTCCATAATGGTTCTAGATATACGTCAACGAGTGCATCATGGATTGGCAATCTTACGGCAAATGATTTATATCTTGGAATCAATAATTCTACAAGACTCTCGATTCGATCTACCAGTAGAGTTGGCATTGGAACGACTTCTCCTGCGGCGGGATGCAAGTGACTGTTAACGCAACTGAAACAATCGATAGTGGCGGATCAGGGGTAGCTTACTTCCTTAAATCTGGCGGCTTGTTTTCGACTCTAGGTCCTATTGCCGGTATCGCAGTAGCTATCCACGGGTGATATTCTAGCATCTGCGGGTGTTTACACTACTTCTGATGGTCGAAGGAAGAATTGCTTTGATACTCTTGATACAGCAGCAATAACGGCATCCACGCTTTCTATCAAACCAAAATTGTACATATATAAGACTCAAGATTCAAGCGTACCGTTACAGATGGTTATCGAGCTCAGAATCTTCTCAAAGCAGGTCAAGGCGCTGTTATCAATTTCTTCCCTAACGAATCGCTAGTTGTCGAAGACGCAACGATTGATTTAGCTGGGATTGAGTTTAGTACTCGATTATAGTAAAGGCTGCTGTTACTTACACATATTAGCTCTCGGGCAACAACAAAAAGATAGGTACGTTAACTTCGTCATCTATTGATCTAGTTTCTCAATTAGCCTCGGCTAACGCAAAAATAGCCGATCATGAGACTCGACTAAAACATCTTGAATCACGACTTCGTAACGTCCTGCTTTAAGCGCGAAATAGCAAAGGTTTTGACCGTATTTTGTTTCCTGTTTGTATTGTAAGCCCAGACACGACCTCCTTCCGTCTGTGTCGATGCGTTCACCTTCTTATTGAGATTGGTCGCCTAAGCGGCAGCTTGCTTCTGACGAGGTTGTTCGCTAATGATTAGTAATTTCATTTTTGATTTCAGCTCAGCTACGTTTTGATCAGCATTATCACACAGCTATCCACCGGACGCCAAGATGATTCTCGGATTCAGAAAGAACATCTTAAGCAAGGCTTAAACGTAGAGTTATAGTAAACGAGTGATAATTTCCTTAAATTCTTTAGCATTGATCAGACGATTGGAGTACATATCCACTCTCAGTGATTTGAGCTGTCTTATGACCGCAGGATTATCGTTGCCGAATTAGAGCTCACCTTTCAGCTTATCGTACTCAGCTTTCAAAGACACTAGAGGGTCCTCAAGCCGATCTTGGAAATTGTATTGTAAATGAGTTATAGCAAGAATCTTTTTAGATATTTTTTTATCATCGGTACTCAACTTGTCATACGCGGCTTGATCGATTTGGTTCTTGAACGTGAGAGTCCTAATTAAGTCTTGAAGGCTGCTACTGATTTGCATTTTAGGTCAGCATTTCCGTATATTGGGTTGTACAATGACAAGCATCAGAGTCGAGATCGGGAATTTGGATATACTTACTCCCTAGCTGTCTATATACATACACAGAGACCCTGAATCTCGTTCAGGTTGTATGTCCTCGATCGACGAACAGCACCTTCAAGCGGTTTAATACCAGCCCCTATGAGACCTCAACCAGTGAGTTTGCTCTGTCTATCACTGAATTGATCGACGTCAGTGAATTTTTGAGCATCAGAGAATTTTAAATTTTAGTTGATCCACCTTATTCCCCTCCTCATGCAAGTGACGTTCGATTTCTTCCAGCCCGTTCAATAGTGAAGTAAACGTATCCATCCATCTGATATTCTTCATGAACTCTTTCCAAGCGTTACCCGATACAGGCTTATGCTTATCATTCCTACTATTTTAAGGACGTCGTATCATAGGCTCACTTAAGTAGTATTATTGATGGGGTTTTACACCTTTTCTATTGTCTACAATCGGCTTAAGGCGGTAAGGTGGCTTAACTCGCTTCTCTTGAAGAATGTTGTACTATTCGGTTAGTATTAGCTTTGCTTCGTTATCGGCATTGCTTAATTTGGGATCCATATCTTCATCGATTCCACTAAGGACTCCATGACGAAGCTCTGCGCTAGCCTCTCCTGGTTTGAAATCCTGTACATGTCTTATCATCATTTTTACCGATAGATAATATCTTCAAACCTTCTACCGTATTGATACATCTATGAATGATGGCTTGCCAATTTACCCTTTTAGCGAGTGAAGGCTTGAGACGATCAGTATTTTTGCTGAATACGCCAACTGAGTTACCTTCAATCCAGACATATCCATCTTCATCAATTGGAGATGATTTTACCGTACCTATGAGAATAGGAACAATTTTCTTTTTAGCTTCAAGCAGTTGCTTGTTCTTACAAGATAATTT